AGGATCGCCGGAGCCCAGCAGGTCAAGGCTGCAGCCACTGCACTCCAGTCTGGGCGACAGTGAGACTCCAACTCAAAAAAGAAAAAAGAGAGGGGACACGTGGACCACCCTGGCTCCCTGTGGCCTGGGCCCTCTGCCAATGGGCAAGGAAGGGTGGGTGGTGTCTCCCCAGGTCAGGCTGCCCTGGAGAGCCTGGGCTCAGCTTCTTGCCCCCACACTCTGGCACCCAGAGCTGGCCCCAGGAGGGTTCACAGCCCGGGCTCCTGGGGCGATGGCAGGTCAGGCATCCCCCCCGGGCCTGGCCATCTTGGGGCACTGGTGACTCTGGAGTGCTGATGGTACACCATCAGGCAGGGGTCTCAGCCCCACAGAACAGACACTGAGGCTCCCTAACTGCCAGCATAGATGGTCACTGAGGGTGAAAGGTGGGGCTCAGGATCTGGCAGGGTGACTCCGCTGGGAGGAGTCCGGTATGTGCAGACCTTCCGAATCCCCTCTCGGCTGGCATTTGGGACCCTCTCTTATCCCCTGGCCAGCCAGGCCCTACTGATCAGAGGTAGCCAAGGCCTTCTGGCTCTGCCCTGGGGGCTGGAGAAGGTGGTAGCAGCAATTGGGCTGGGCCAGCAGCTGTGACAACACAGGGGTGCCCCTGTCCAAGATGCCTAGGGGTGGTCGTTGCTGTCTTCTTCCTGAGGGTCACTGGCAGGAAGTCACTCCTGAGAGCTAACCTCCGGCTCTTCTGGCGGCATGACCTTGGATCTTGGGGGTCCAGGCACCACCTACCACCAGCCCTGCTGCTGAAGGCTGGGCAACCTGTGTCTTGCCGACCAGAAGGTTGCAGATGTGGGTGGGGGATACAGGCTGTGGGGTTTTGGCAAAACCTGTGGGCCACACCTGTCTGGGGTACCCTCCCTGGGATATGACTTGGGTGTGCTCCCTGAGCAGGAGGCTGGAGGCAAATCGCAGGCTCAGAGCGGAGTTTCCCTCTGCTATCTTCCTATGAAGATGCTCTCGGCACCTGCGGGACCCCTACAGGTACACGGGAACCCCCATTTTACTCAGTGACAAATTGAGGCAGGGAAGGGTCTTCATCTGCCCCAGGCTGCAGCCCACCAGTGTGCACAGGTGTGAGCACACTGGTGCTCGTGTCTGCGCCTGGTGACTCCTTTTACAACTGCACTCCCGGCCGGGCTCAGTGGCTCAGCCGTAATTCCAGCACTTTGGGAGGCCGAGGCGAGTGGATTGTCAGAGCCCGTGGGTTTGAGACCCACCCAGGTAACTTGGCGAGACCTCGTCTCTACAATAAATCAAAAATTAGCCGGGCATGGTAGCACATGCCTGTAGTTCCGGCTACTTGAAAGGCTGAGGCAGAAGGATCGCCAGAGCCCAGCAGGTGGAGGCTGCATGGCAGGGAGCGGCCACTGCACTCATCTGGGTGACAGAGCGAAACTCCAACTCAAAAAAACAACTGCACTCCCTAAAACCCCCGTGGGGATGGCCGAGTCCTGGAGGGGAGAGGAAGGAGGCTGGTGAGATGCTTTCTGAGTGCAGAAAGGTGGAGCCCCGCTGGCAGAAGCAGAAGCAGCCTGGACTCCCATGGGCTGACTCCTGCAAGGTCTCATGGCCTCGCCTCAGGTTCTCCCCAGGGCTGGGGCAGTCTGTAACAGCTTCAGACCCACCAGGGTACCCAGCAGGGGGGCAGTCAGAGACAACTATCAGTGGCCACGTGGTCAGCCACCTCGCTGACCTGTGTTGGCTCTGAGAGGCAGTCAGGGTTGGGGAAGGGAGAGGGTTGCAGGGAGCCAGGTGCAGGCACGCAATGTCCCCTCCGGCCCCTCACGGGCCACGTTGCCTCCTGGGCAGCTGGGCTTGTCCTCAGCAGCTGTAGAGGGAGGCAGTGGGCTGTGTGTCCCAACCACCATTCAAATGCTTCTCCATGTCAGAGAGAGGCGATGGAAAGGACACACTGTCCACACTCTCCCGTCCACATGCTCCGGCGGGCTGGGGGGTGGAAGGGGAAAGCGTGCTGGGGCAAGGACGTGGGTTGCAAAGCAATCACACGCGTGTCATACACATGTCCCTGCACATAAGGACACCGAGGACCGGGCCAGGACTCCAGGGCAGCCCAAGGGGTAGGGGGTGGGCGTCTCTCTGACGCGCTCTCGCCTGGCCCGCGGCGCCTTCCCTT